CGGCGAGAAAAATTTGAATAATTGCCGGGAAAACCCTAAAGACAGCCTTTTTCTATAGGATAAAAGTTGGCATTGAGATTCAATCATAGTTATAGTTAAATAGTTGAATCCAAGATGGCGCGCTGAACTGCATTATTAGCAATTCTTTATATAATTAATTTCTTTAAAATAAAATTGCGAATCTTGTTGATAGAATTGACACATACTATGTCTAGAACACGAAAGTAAAAACGAATTACATTTTTATTAAACACTACCGGATATATTTATTAATAAATAATTTAATCTTGGTTGTAATTTGAAAGTAAAAATATTTTACCTTATTGTGATTATGTACAAAATACAACATAACCTAATCTAACCAAAAAGTTATTCGTACAAATTGAATTTTAATATTAATACTAATAAATTATTTAATTTCCGAGTAATTTGCGAATAAAAATTGTTTTACCTTCATAAATAACTGTATATGAACATATTTCATCCCTTAAGCATTCGTTTCAGTGTATTTCCAGTGCGTATTTGGTATTTGCCCAATTCTCGGCAACCTCTGCCGCTGCCCGACGAATTATTGTAGCTCGGTTACACCTTTATCCCATTACACGGCGAGCGCCTCCAAAATTCTCTCCCTCAACCCCTTTATCACTTCTCACCCACCCACCAAAAGCAAAGCACAAACAGGGGAATGGTGCCATTGTATAGGTTGTAACATTGTTCTTGATGTCTGCTTGTGCAGTGGTCAGGAACAGCCTATCGGCTCTCCTTTGCTATCATCCTCTCGGGAGCATAGGAATGGGTGTTAGGGATGGGTGCCGGTGTGCGTGTTTATTCGGTGGTAATGAGTTGGCCGTTTAAACATTAATTCCAGATTAATTTAATGGAAGCGCACTGCGGCGACGGCAAATCGCGGCGATTTGTCACCGGAATGGTGTTGGTGCAGGTGATGGATCATTATCAGGTCGCGAGGTCATCAAGTCAACAAGTCAAGTGCAATCGGATTGGAATCAGAAATTAGAATGTCATTTTAAACTGCGCATGCGCTGTGGGTACCTATTCTTTAGTTTGCGTAGCTGCATTTAGCTGCGTATCAAACTAGTGTTGATATTTAGACATATAGGCAACCAATAACACAAAACGTTAATACGCGTTGTTCTCGATAGGTGGCGCTAGTGGTATAAACATACTCATATTGAGATATTTGAACATATATGCAACCAGTATATCCTATCTTAACCTAACTTTACTCAAAATACCTTAAAATTTACAATTTCTTTGTTTACAGATAAAAAACAACGTTTTAACGGATGTTTAAACACAAAATTTTAATACGCGTTGATCTCTATAGGTGGCGCTAGTAGTAAAGACATACTCGTATTGAGATAAACATATATGCAACCAGTATATCCTGACCTAACCTAACTTGACTTAAAACAACAAAAAATCTAAAATTTCTTTGTTTACAGATAAAAACACAACGTTTCAACTGATGTTAAACACAAAACTTTAATACCCCGCTGTGTACTTTATGCATTCAACTGCATTTTTCCATACTGGCGCAGGATCAAAGCAACTTTTTCACAAACACCATGAACATAGAGGTAAATCGTTGCAAACTTCACATGTTTTAACCCACATAATAAAAAAATAAGTCCCATGTAAAATCCATGCAATCGAAAAATGCAATATATTTGCTATTTGCATTTGTGCCTTACAAAACTTGACTTTGCTGCGTATGTTGTTGCAAAATGCAAATATATATCCAGATTTATTGCGACACGAGAATGAAAAAATCGCCGGAATAAAATGTTTGCTGACATACAATACTGCAATCTATGAAATTCCTCCAAGAACGCTGAATAAGAAAATGTACTTACAACGAAAGTTTCGAGGCGAGCGTAATAAATACGTAATACTCGTAAAGCTGCAGGTCATGATGATGAGTAAATGTCTGTTTACATAGATACTATCAAAGGGAATTATTCATTTGCCTAGGCAGTAAAGCAAAAAAGAAAAAAGTAATCAATAACCAAATTTTATTTTCAAAAAAGAAAAAAACTTATTCTTTTTATTATTACTTGATTATTTGACTTTGAAAATGATTGAATAAATAAAAAATGCAACTTTAATGCCTCGGCAAATAAGCAAAAATATTTATTTTTATCTATAAAGTTTTGATGGTGATTTATTTCCACTTCTCGTTTGATTGGGAATGAACGCGAATGTGAATGACACAAGTTTGGTTAGTTTGATGGTTTCACCCTTTTTTCCCGACGTGAAAATAACAAAAACAAGCGGAAAATAAAACGAACACAAACAAAGCATAAAAAAAGCCAGTCGAACGTTGACATACGATTGAAAACCTGCGTTTCAAACCTGCAAAGTTTCTAGATTGAACAAATATTTACACCAAAGTAAATATTATTTTGATTTTGATGAATATTAATATTCATAGAGTAATCCATCGATTAATAGTTGAATAATATTATATATTTGATATTAAATGGAATACTATCTGCGTTTCATAGGTTAAATTCGTTAAAATGGTTGTAAAATGCGTAGGCAACACACAATACATTTTATTTTATTATTGTGGGTGGTATACTTGTGTTGAGCAATAATTTAATATCATTTAATTTAAATTTTAAGCTTTGTGAATTACTTACTACTACTTGCTGCCCTACTTTTCGGTACTTTGCTAATTATAATTATAATTTCGACCTTATTAATTAATTAAATATTAATCTGTTTTGTAATTCAAGTCAACTTGATTTTTTGTTTATTACAAAAGTTTTTTGTGCTAAATATTAATAATTTTTTTTATTTCCTAACTTTTTTTTTATTTTGTTGAAGAAATTATTAATTAATAATGTAGAATTATTGTGTTACAGCATGTAAATTGAGTGGAAATCAAAGAAAGCGAATGAGCGAACATCACGAGGGGTGGCAAAGCGAAATTTAATATAAAGAAGCTTGTCAAGTATGTCAACGACTTTTATTCGTGCTTAATATTTCGTTACGAGACAATTTCGACGAGTAATTAGCTTGGTACTCGTAAATCCGGCAAGTGCTTTGCGTTAAGGTTAATTATGCATTTCACTTTTTAAATACTCGTTAGTCAAGACATGTTAACAACCTTATAAAGTTAAATATAATGTCGCGAATTGCGTAAAATAATAAGTGTACTCACTGTGAATTTGAGGTGAAGTTAAAAATGTGCACAATATCAACGAAAACGAAAGAAACTGTGTCGTTGCTCATGTTGGCTGCGTCATGCTACTTCTACACTGTCAAATACATGCTGTCTAGTGCGATATACCCGAACTAACACGGTTAACTACGTATACGTATAAAAATAGGTAGGCAACTTTACTTACATGTCAATAGATGTCAATATTTGAATTTATAACTTCACAATTTATAAAAAACAAAGAAAATAGTTCTATGAGTGTCCAGAAAAAGAAATATAATGATTTCCACGATAAATACAACATTTTTAATACATATTTTGCATTATAATATTCGTATTTCAATACTTTTTGATAAATTTTATAGATTTTACTTGTAAAAACATGTTAATTACTTAATAAACTATAACATACTTTTGACAATTAAAAAAAAAATAAGTTTATTTACTTAAAAATTAATATCAACCAAAATATTAACAATATTTCAAGAAAAATAAACAAAATTAAATTAATTGTTATTCAAGTGCCCACAAGCGCCCTCTATTGATTATACACAAACTATATTTATACCTAGGCAACTATACTTCCACGTCAATCCAACTCTGTTTGAATACATATAACCCATCTCGTTTATAAACACAAAAGAAAATATTTTCCGTGTATTCCACAGCGTGAAACATCGAAAAGAAAGTACTTATGTAAGAAATAGAATACCTTCTAATACACCTATTGTAATGTGATACGTATGCCGGGATACCTTTGATACCTTCAGATACATTTGATAGTCGTGCGCCGATGCGAACAATGCAAAATACCACCATCGACACGTGCGCGTGCTCTTCGGTCGCTTACCCGTACTCTTCAAAATGTACTATAAGTACGGGCGGTGTTTAGATTGCTTTATAGCTAATGCGCGGTGAGTGGCGGTTTAACGAAGGCCTTCCATTCTCGCCAACATGTGAGTAAATACTTGCGAAATACATTCGATTCGATCGACACATAAAATAGCTGCTCTATGGATATTCCCCTCATTCCCTACTAATATTATAAATGCGAAGTCCCGATGTTTGTTACACTTTCACGCAAAACTACTTTAACCGATCATCAAGGAAAATTTGTACACATATTCTAGTGTCCTGAATGGTTATAGGTTACTTTTATTTAACAAAAATAATTACTTCTTTAAATAAAATAAAGAAATAGTTTAGCCTTCACAGTTCCTGCATCTGGCTATTTGACTACTAACGCCATCCAGTATCCCAGCAATGAAGCTCAGTAAACCCAAGTACTATAAGTACCATCACACACCGTATTATCATTACACCGGTATTACCGACAGCTACGTCAACATCAAATCCAATTGACTACACTATGGAGACTGTAGCCACTATACTTCCATATGGACTATTATACTTTCGAAGCCATTTTAAACCTCCCGCCATTCTACCTCACATTGTTACTCTTCTGGTGACCATAAGACGCGTACGGAAGCAACTCCCCATTATTTTAGATATTCGCGAGCGAAGTCGCGGGTTAAAAGCTAATAATTTAATATAAAAAGAAGTTAAAAGTTAAGATTATCTGATTGAGGAGAGTTGATATTAAAATGGTTGGGCTCAAGTTCACGAGTGGAGCGATGGTTCCGTTTTTTGTTGACTTTCGCCGCGATACCCCTGACTTCCGGCGCTCCTGCTCCGTCGTGAGCTATTACGCGCTCAAACAAACTTCGACTTGACTTTTACAGATTCTTTGCGAAACAAATTATAAACTAATAGAAAATATTTGTTGATGTAATTATGATGTTAAGGTACTTACAGTGTCCATTTTGATCAATTTCCGGTTTTGTGTTCGTTGAAGCACTGATTTGATTACAGACACAAAAGTTCATACATTGTTAGAATATGTTTGATTAACAGTAATGACATTTAGTTAATTATTATTATATTAAGTAAGGTAAGTTATAATTAATTAAATTAAGTAAGTTGAATTAATTTTAAATTTAGTTGAATGAAGTTTTAATTTAATTTTATTTTATTGAAGTTTTTTTTTTTAAGTTTTAGTTTTCGATGAGAATTGATGCACGCGCGTTTCTGATACGAGTGGATAGCGTGGAGAGTCGTTCGGTGGCACAGCCGCAAGCTGAATGAGAGTGGAAGTAAGGGGTGGCGGCAGCGAAGGCAGAATTAGAGAGGCGGCGAAGCGACGTCGTTCGGTGGCACAGCCGCAAGCTGAATGAGAGTGGAAGCGGCGGTGGCGGCAGCGAAGGCAGAATTAGAGAGGCGGCGAAGCGACGCGGCCGGATGGAAGTTTCACAAGGCGGCGGCAGCAGCAGCGGCAAGCGGCGGGTGTGATACGGGTGAAAGCGCAAACGCAAACATCACGCCCACCATTCACAAAACAAAAAAGTCATTCATAGTTAAGATATTCCAAGGCGGCGGCGGCGGTAGCGGCAAGCGGCGGGTGTGATACGGTGAAAAGCGCAAACGCAACACATCACGCCCACCATTCACAAAACAAAAAAGTCATTCATAGTTAAGATATTCTGCAAAGGAAAGTATTTAAATGTATTTGTACTGTGTATGTATTAATATTTTAAATATTAATATATTATTAGTGTGCAAATTAATTTCTTACTTGATTTATTCAAGTTTCAGCTAATAATTATACTTGAATTTCTTTTCAGAAATTTAATCTTAAAATATTAGTTATTTCTGTTGAATATTAAAAGATAATTTAATGATATTTATTAAAATTTATGAAATTTCAAGATATTTACGTTAATTTTAATGCAAATAATAGTCATAAACAGAATTCAATGGTAAAAACTAGAAAAAAACAGGTTAAAAGGCAAATATATGAAAAAAAAAAACATAGTGGGGTTAGTTACAACACTTATAACTCAAGAACGGCTGGATAGATTTTGATGATCTATAATTTTCTAGGTTCCTCTTGGTTTCGAATAGCAGAATAATTATTAAAATATCAGAAATTATAATTTAAAGGGTGTTAAATGAGGGATAAAAGTTGATATAGAGATTTAATCATAGTTATAGTTAAATAATTCTATTCTAGATGGCGCTGAAGTATATTACTAGCAATTCTTACTTCTTTTAAATAAAATTGCTAATTTTATTAATAACTTGACACATAATTAACAAAAATAAACAAAAATTAATACTATTAAAGCTTTTTAAACCTGTAAATAACTTTATTTTTAATTTTATCAACTTATTTTTTATTGAGAAGATAATTGACTTAATAAGCTGTTCTTTATATTAAAATGCAGTAATGTTGCAGTACAAGTACCGATATTTGAAGAATTTATTACGCAAAATAATAAATTCCGCTATTTTTCTCCCTTATTAATAATAATCTATTTTAATTTTATAATAACTCACAATGTTTGATCTATTGCCAACCCACCTGCTACAATATTCCGCTATCTATCCCTACTCGTATCTATTCATTTCCACTTTTCTTCTTATTTCTTCATCCACGCGTTATTTTTCATTCACCCACTCGCATATCCACTCCAAACCATTCCCTCACTTTTATTTTTCTCTTTTTTTTTTGTTCTCACTTTACTTTTTCAGCTTGGGCTTTCCCTATAACCGCACACGAATTGTTTGAGCACCAGTATCCTTTCTTCCCAATTTCACCACGAAATCCCCGTAATAACTTATTACATTATCTTGGTTTTCCGCACAAAGAATAAATAAATATCTCAAGAAATATTTCACGGGTGCATTATTTTCACTTATTATTAAATTCATATATTTTTAATCTCACTTTTAATGCATTCCTCGTCAACAAAACAACAAAAAGTAAGAGCATTTGCTCGGATTACACTCAAAACGATGAAATTATTTATTTTGTTTTGGAATTTCATTTTTAACCGGTTTTTTACACCTGAAACAATCCAAAAATAGCATTGCGTCAGTGTGGGAGACAACTAAATCCTCAAATCCTCGATTTTTTCAGCATATTTTCCTGTTTTCCGTGGTTATACTCAACAAACCCACACAAATCGATTTATTTCTTAATCTGCACAAAAAACGTCACACACGAATTAAATCCTTCTGTTTTTTTACGTGTAAAATGTAATATTTTACTAGTGAAATATTTTATCTTGCAAATTTATTCATTCTGTGTGCAGTTACACAAAGTTGTAAGACTTCAACGCTTCGAGGAACAGTTTAAGACGTTTATAACGATGTTAAATTAAGTTAAACGACAGTAAGCTTTGTTTTACGACGTTTTGCGCCTTGCTGCACAAAGGAAACTCATAATTCTCGGTGATAAACATCGAATTTCATTTAAAGTTAACAAAAAATCGCGTAAAAACGCGTAAAAATTAATTAAAAATTAAAAACACATCTAATAACCATAACAATTGGTAATTACATTAAATTTTATGTTTTTTATCATCATTTTTGTAAAAGGAATGAAAATTGATTTTGTAACATTTCAGATCTTTTTCTTCCTTTGGGTGTTTAACATAGGCAACCAAACATACACCAAAAGTACACAATTTTATATAAAATGTTATTTTCTTAATTTTAAACTATATTACACTTAATAATAAGTTCTAATAATTAAAATTAAAATTATGTCAGAAGAATAAATGTAACTTTTAAATATAAAGTGAATTTAACTAAAGTTTAAAACTGAAACGCTTGGAAACAGAAACTTTTCTTTGGTTTCTCTCAGATTTCTTACGATATTTCTAGGCGTATTTATTTTTCAGCCACGTGCAGTCGAGTGCAACCCAGCACGATTTGCCATTCAACTTTTTAAGCTTTGCACGCGCCAACTTTTTCCGTTTCCGCGCCGCCGCGGAGTTTTTTCTTGTGATTCCGGCTGTGGCGATGACACAATCAATCGTCTCACGTCATAAACACGCTCAACGTCATAGAGAAACACAAAAAATAACTGGGTTAATCAATGGATGAAAATAAAAAATATTTTTTCGTCCGCGATTTCATCTCGGTAGTGTTTAATAAAAATGTAATTCGTTTTTACTCTCTTGTTCTAGACATAGAATGTGTTAATTCTATCAATAAGATTCGCAATTTTATTTTAAACAAATTAATTATACAAAGAATAGCTAATAATGCACTTCAGCGCGCCATCTCGGATTCAACTATTTAACTATAACTATGATTGAATCTCAATGCCAACTTTTATCTTATAGAAAAAGGCTGTTTTTAGGCTTTTCCCGGCAATTATTCAAATTTTTCTTGCCGTAAAAACCATTCTTGGACTTTAACGAACATTTTAAAAAAAGAATTGGCCAAATTGATCCAGGCGTTGTTGAGTTATGCGCTTACCAACTAATTTTGCGATTCATTTTAATATTATAATGATAGAGAGTTGGGTTAAAGCTGGGCATTATATACTTAAGAAGATATTCTTTTAAAAACCACAAAAGAAGAAATTACTTAAGAAGCATCAAAACTTTGTTGATTTTACACAAATAAAATGCTAACTTGCGTGCGTGTGTTCTTTGAGCTTTTAAGTTTTCAAGTTTTGACGCCAAGGGATCGTAATTATGACAGAAGCTGTTACCACAACACAACAAACTTGCCAAAACTTTCGAATAAAATTGAAACCAAACAAGAAAAGCAATCATATTTCAAAGCCTTCAAAATTTATGTATTTATTCTTCTGAGCTAAGAGGAATTTTTACTTTTTTATTATTGCTTTTTGAAAGCTTTTGTAAGTAACATTAAGTTGAGTATGTGTAACAATGAAAGCAATGAAAGTCAAAGTACAGAAATCAATTGCACTGGATTTTCATTTGGTAGTGGAGGAAAGTTTACGAAAAAGACCATCATGAAAAACAACATCGTCTGCGATACTGAATTATGAGCGGGGTCGTGCTTCAATAATGACTGAAACGAGACCGTTCCGCCATTTTCAGGACCGCATAAAGTTCGGCTTCTTCTTAACATACGTTTTAGGTTCCAACCACGAAATATAATATACAGAGTCTAGAATTTTTACCAGATAAAATAATATTGATTTTTACAAAAAACAAGATGCTCCAAATGTTTTTAAATATATTATAGATTTATTATTTTGTGTATCGATTTATTTTTATTTTGAATTTAAAAACATACTGTATAGTTTTTGACGTATATTTTTTTGTCGGGCTTAGCTCGTTCCCGGTCGGTCGTTTTATGTGATCTCGATACCCACGTGGAGTGGCCAGCAGTCGGGTGTAGGTGTACTTAATGTCTGCGAATTTCTTTCGCGTCATTTTTTTTCATTGCTGCTCCTTGCCAAGCGATACTTTGCGTATGTGGCTCAGATGCGTAGGGGTTTGGTTTCACGTCGCGGTGAATTGTGTTTTCGTGCGTGGCCGTTCGCTGATTTTCCAGTTTTCCACGTTGTTACACCGCTGTTTTATCGTCGTTGCTGAATGTTGACAGTGTCTGCACACGTATATACAATCTACAACCCGCATTCCACTTTTATTGCATTGATTGAAACACAAGGAATGTAAAATAAGAGTTCATATTAAAATAAACAAAGAAAAATAAAATAAAAAGTTTAAACTTTTTTTTAAATTTCTCATTAGTTTACTGTTTTAAACTTTGATATGTTTCCTACTATATAGCTGTAAATTATGAATAAACTCCATGTGTAATATTACTATATATTTGTATATTTGAAAAGTAATTTCCAACTATTGCAGCTCTGTGCATACGCCGTTAAAGTTACATACTGCATTTTAAGGGTTCAACTTACTGTCGAGTCCTTTCACTCGCCCGCATTGAAGATTAATGAGAAAAGTTTCTGCACATCAACAATTTCAAAGTCGAAATAAAAAGTTAATTTATTTAGACTCAATTAATTTTAGACATTTTCCAATCCATGTATTAACAATTAATTGAACTAAATCATTGAAATGAATCTAAAATCAGGCAAATCAAAAAATACATTGACACTTTACTGTTGGCTGATAAACTTGCGTCAATTAATCACCAGTTGTTTTTGTGTGTCTCATCCGCATAA